CCAAGTGTCAGAAGTCCTGCACAACAGGGCACGACAGCCTCACTATGGGCAAGTGACAATAACCAGAGCTCAGCGAGATGCTTTTATGTCACTAAAAATACAACTGATAAGACTTGCCTGCAGGAGGGCAAAGGACGTTTTTCAAAGAGTGGGAAGGGAAGGGAAGTGAAGGGCGGGAGGGGGGGGGGCGTGCTAAGAAACCTCCTAGGGGCCCTTGGGAGAAAAGAGAAATATAAACAGGGAAAAGTCAAAGAATAACAGGGTGACTTTAAAAAGAGACCTGATCCCGTGGCGCCCTGCTGCTGACCCCGACTGGGAACTCAAGAAGATGGAGCTTTTCTTTTTTTCCCGTCAGCAGAGGGGAGAAGGAGAAGAGGGAGAAGAGTCCGTCGGGGGGCGCAGTGTCCGGAGCGGCGCGAGGCGGTGGTTGAAACCAACGGCCGGGACAAGCAAGGGGCAGCGCACTCGCCCTCCACTCTGAGCCGCCGCCCCACTCCGCTCCCCACTCACTCACCGGCCGAGCTCATGGTGCTCCCCCGCGCCCTACGCCATGGCTCCGCTCAGCCCCAGCTACCGCTCCGCGCCCAGTCCCAAGCCTGCATGCCGTCCCGTGGCTCCGCGCTGACTGAGCCCCCTGCCGCGTACCTCCGCCGCTGGGGCAGCGTAGCGACCCCTCCCGGCCGCGCCCCACCAGCGCAGGCTGGCTACACCACACCCCCTTACTCATCTCCTCCAATCAGCGAGGCCCAGCTTTACGTGCGGGCCCCGGCCGGAAGCGGTCGGCCGCGGGCGTTGCCGGGAGTCGTAGTTCGCGCTGCGCTGCCCGTGGGCTGGGCCGGGCCGGGCCGGGAGGCGGACTGTGTTTCCCGGCGTGCCCGCGGGTGGTGGCATGGCGGAGAAGGATGACACCGGACTTTGACGAAGAAGTGGTGTTTGAGGTGGGTGCTGGGTTGGCCCCGCCGGACTCGGGCTTGCTCGGGCGGCGGGGGGCGGAGCGGGCCAGGGTATGGGGGTGGTGAGGGGTGCCGGTTGGTCGTGGGGGGGAGGCTGTTGACCGGTGGTTATGAGGGGGGGCTGCGATTGGCTGGTGTTTGGGGTGGGGGGCGCTGATTGGCTGGCGGGCGGCGGGGTGCAGTGCGCGGCTGGCAGCGGCCGGCATTCGAGAGGCCCAGGGGCCGGGGCTGAGCGCACCTGGGGCCCCGGGGCCGCCTGGGGCCCAAGTGCTGGGAGCTGCCCTGGGGTACCTACCGCATGATAGCTGTGACCCGGAGCGAGTGGCGTTGGGGCAGGGGCACGGGCCCACAGTGCTCTTCTGTGGGAATGGGGTGCGCGTGGTGCATATGTTGTATCTGGTCATGAGTCAAGCATCAGGGATAGCCAAGAAGTGTATTTAAAAGGCCTGAAGAAGGGTGTTTGTACCCGAAAGCTTGTAAAGAACAATTTTTCCAACTAATAGTTCGTCTAATAAAGGAGATCACATCTATCCACAGAATCTTGTCTGCCTTTAAAAGGGCAGTTGAGGGGCTGGGTCCACTGGGGGCATTCTGTGAACCTTGCCCAGAGCCACCGGAGCAGGGGAAAGCAAGGAGCACTGTCATCTGTGGGGTTTTTGGGTCCCTTGCCAGAACAGATTCTTGCATTTGAGTTATGGGGATGCAAAAAAACTAAGTGTGGGTGCATGTAACTGTTGCCATTGTCATCTGTGAATCACTTCTGAATTGCACAATCGGGGCTGAAAATAGCAAATCCTCTGAAGAAGTCCAATGTATAAATCAGTGTGGTTCTTGTAAAAGCATCCGTGTAAAAGCTGTGCGTAAGTTTGCACCTCCTGCTGGAAGCTGCTTTGTGTTTTCTGCTGGTTCAAGTAAAAGAGAACCTAAATGAGGCTCCATGGAAATATTGTCTTTATGTAACTGCATTTTTAATTAGCTAATGGGGTTCAGTGTGCTGGCATAGACTTGGTATACAAAGTAATGGTGAACTGTATCTGCTGAGGTAGTCCAGCAGTAAATTGCATGTGTTTTTCAAAGCTAAATATTCTGGTATCTTTATTTAAGTCACTTGCAGGCACACAAAGAAAAACATGGGTAATGTATAGAAGTTGCATTATTTTTAAAGGAAACAAATCATTTATGTTCCTAAAGCTATTGGTTTCTTGTGGATGGAAGGAACTCGCTATCTAAGAATGCTTTGCATTTGAAAGCTTGTCTAAGTCTATCCCAGCCATAGAGTTGCTCTAATAAAAAATATCTCCCACAAAAATCATTGCCTATTGCAAAATTCCTGGACCATCTTGACTACATGACTCAAGCGCTACCTAGGTACTGTCTTATCAGGCTGTGGATATGCTGATTTTTTCATAGGCTTATCACATTATGGTTAAAAATTGCTTTTGTTTTTGTGGGCATTTTCTTTCAATGTTGAGTCATGTCACTAAAACCCCAGTCAAGTTAAATACTGAACTGACCTGGCAGTGTTCAACTGGTGCAATGCCTGTGTGGACACTCCAGTACCTTTTCCAGTCCAAACTGTCTTTTAACTACAGTTCCACCATGTCCTTGTCGTCATAACTGTGACCAGAGATCATTGTGACTGGAAGTCAGACCCTGCCTGTTGATATCCAGATGTCTTTGTGGAATTTCTCACTTCATACTCACCAATGCACTTGCTGCCATAGTGCTCTGCTTGAGCACTAGGTAATAATATAGCTAAGAAGAGTTTGGGCAAACCTGATGCAGGAGAGAGGTGCTTAATTTCCTCAGTCTGGAAAAGGGCAATTCAAAACCAACTGCAAGAACAAAGATGTGTTTTCAGACATTTTTAAAAAGAACACAAGTTATAGTATGATGGGGCAAGAAGTAATGCCAGGCTAAGGGGAAGGAAACACACAAGGGCAAAGGAGGGCTACAGAAAATCTGGGGCTTCAAAAACTCTGGAACACCCAGAAGACGGAACCTCAAGCAATGTGAACAACATGCTCACTGAGAAAGTGGTCTCAGAACATGCAGACTCTGTGGAGAGCAAAGTACGTTTTGAGACCCTGTGATCCTGTTGAACACAGCTCAGTGTCATCCAGTGCACCTACAGATGGAAACCACTGTGGAAAGGAAAAGGAGCTCAGGTAGTTGTATTACTGCATGTTTTATTATTTATTTACTCTGTTCAAAGGTCCTGACTCTCCATTACTCCCTTCCATGTCCCCTATCCAAATGGTGGGTTAACTTATATGGGCAAGGATGAAAAAAATTGCCTTTTGAATTAGCTTGTTTACTTTAATAACATTTTCTGGCAGCCACAATTTAAAAAATAAGAGAAAATTCTCTATGCAATCCAGAAATATTCCCACTTGCATACTTTTTGCAGGTCAGATGGATAGAATTTCTAGCAAATACATTCATCCTTTGCAAGCAGAAAATTAAAGATATATGAGGATTTTAAATAATACATTGAAAATAATTTTTGTAAACAGTGCAGTAACTGGTCATTCAGCTAATTCGATTTTTTGCAAACAGCAGTGTAAAGTAAACAGTTATAAATGCAGTGGCATGGTTGTTGGTCTGAATATCCAAGTCCAAAGCAAATGTATCCATGCTGTGCTTGGACTTATGGGTACAAAATGGGACAGATGGTTTGCTGGTTCTGGGGGAATGGGGTTGTAGTACTAGGCTCTGGTGACCCCTTTGCTGGTCTGTGAAATTCCAAGTTTCATAGATTTCATAGGCATTAGGGCTGGAAGGGACCTCGGAAGATCATCAAGTTCAGCCCCCTGCCCCAGGGACAGGAAGTCACTTGGGGTCAAAGGATCCCAGCAAGATAAACATCAAAATGTCTCTTAAAGGAGTCCAGAGTAGGTGCTTGGACTACCTCTGGCAACAGTCTGTTCCAGGCCTTGGGGGCTTGGACAGTAAAGAAGTTCCTCCTTACGTCCAGCCTGAAACAGTCTTGGAGGAGTTTGTGACTGTTTGATCTTGTCATCCTTTGGGGTGCTCTGGTGAACAGGCAGTTGATCTTACGGTAATCTTAGCCCAGGTATCATTTTTGTCATCTGGCATGATCTCGATAAAATTTTTGAGCAGGCAGCCTTTAAACTTTGCCCCCAATTTCTCCTCCAAGTGTAGGATCGCTCTCCACAGTTCTTTACACCAGGGCTGTCCAGCTCCCCTCACTAATCCAGCTGCAGCAGCAGCATGTGGAGTTTCTGGGCTCCCCTTCTTCCCACCATCTTCCACTTCCTGTCCCTGTTCCAGGTAGCAGGGCTGTGCAGTGTGGCAAAGCTTGCCATACTGGGAAATCCTGTGGCCTGGGTTGCCCATATGATGCAGTGCATTGGGTCCTCCCTGCTATTACGGGCTTTGTGTGGGAAGTATGGGGTGGCATCCTTGTGTACATGTGGTACAGTGCAGGGTAGGTGGCATGTGTAGTGCAGTGGGATTGAGGGGGCATGTGAAGAATACTATGGACCCTGCTGGTACAGTCTGCGGGGCATGTGGACCCAGCTGCTTAGAAGCTAGGTAGTCCTGCTTTATAGTAAACTTTTGTGGCACCACTGCTCTGAAGAGGCCAACAGCATTCAGTCTGGGTAACCTCAAGTAGATGCTTCTCTTAGGCCTTCTGTATGTTCATAAGCAAGATATCAGACACTGTTACCAGTCCTATAATAATCTGAGCAAAACTGAGAGGACTTTTCATATACCTATTACCCAAGGCACCCTACAGTTCATGTCCACACCCCTCAAACCACAGGCTTTGAAAGATATCTCCATAATTGTGTTGGGAATTCTTGAACCCACCCCAGGCAAGTTAATATCATTTAATATCATTATGGGAACTTTTTCAGGGTACTCCCTCACTTATCTTTTCCTGTGCTAACCTTTTAAATCTAACTTGTTTTTGTCTTGCTGTTTATCGGTGGCTCTGCAAACATATCCTTGAGAGGCAGTCCCTCCACACCAAGTGAAAGACTGACGTTGATCAAAATAAAGGAGGAAAAAAACAAGGACTAGCACAGGAGTGGGCAAAATGTGGCCTGGCCTGCCAGGCCTTTCTATCCGGCCTGCAGGTCCCCTGAAAAATTTAGAAAATTAATATTTATCTGCCCCTGGCTGCCAGACATGCGGTCCTCAATGGCTTTCCAAAACTCAGTAAGCGGCCCTCCATCCAAAATAATTGTCTGCCCCTGGACTAGCATGTTCTCTGATATTCTCAAGAATGTTAGTCTGGAGCATAAAGGCAGAAGAGCTGAGGGGTGTAGGGGAGTGCACTAAAATAACATCATCCAACTCTTGAGACATCAAACATAGATTCCACAAAGCATTATGACCTACACCTAGCAGCTTTTATGTTCCATGTGCTCCATGTGTTTTGTGCCTTTGGGACCATATCCAGCTAAGGTGCCAACAGAGCATGCCACAATATTCTGAGGACTCAGTAGAAAATAAGGGGAGCTGTTATACCCTGCGCTGTGGTTAGGGTAAGAGCAATCAGCTCTTGCCCTTAGTTTTATGAGATTTTAAATACTTAAAAGGAATTTATGTTGTAGTATTAGTAGTAGTAGTAGTATTGTTCAATAAAACTTGGTTTTGTGAAAAATCCAGATTTATTTACTTTGTTTTATAAAACAGACATGTGAGACGAAGATCAGTGCTTCCTGACCAGATGCCTACACGATGTTACAAATTCATTGAGTTCATTGGAATCTGATCCCTGATCTCAAAATCATGCCTCCTGCCATGTATGTGTGGCATAGCAGGAGGCACGATTGTTGGGGTTAGGAATCAGATCCCATCATGCCATTAAATGAATGCATGCCAGTCATGGGGCAAAAAAGTGTGAAAAGACAGAGTGAGCAAGGAAGGAAGGACCTGACTGCGGCCCTCATGGGAATGTCCAGACAAGCATGCATGTGTGGTCTGTGGCACTGCAAAACTATCTGCAGCAC